AAGTATCCAGCCGTCTTGAAGTCCCAGGATGGCGCCTCAATGGGGGCCGAAAATTCGTCCCTGGCTGTCCTCGCTAATGCCGGTGGTGCTGAAGGAATCGTATTGCGAGAGTCGCCTACCTTGGAAACTCCAACTTTGCGTCTCCTGGAATTTGTCCTTTCCATGCTGCTGAGATCGAAGAGATGTGGTGAAATACACAGAACCTGAGGTCGGGTGCGTCAGCATTACGGGCGTGGTATCAATGATTAGACAATGCGGGTTGGGCGTTAATGGCCGGGATGAATAGCGAGGCTCCGAGAGAAAAGGGTGGTGGTCGTGTCGCTGTGGGATCAGCTCCCACCTCATTCGTCCCGGAGCTTTCATTCAAGTTGGTTGGGAACCCGGACGAGGTTCCATGAAAGTGAAATCTTCACCGACGCCCGTTCATCTCCGCCGTAAGGCTCGGATCCGGGCCAGCCTCGCTAATCACAAAGCCCAACTTTTCCGGAGTTTGAATTCTTCCCTTCAAAATGTCGCGCTTGTATGACAGCTTCAGATGAGATAATCTAAGCCAGGTTTCTCTTGCTCTAGCCAAGATGGCGCCTTAATTCACAGATGCAAAATCGTGGATAAAGGTTCGCATGCGTGCGTCTTCACGCAATGATACAAATTATCGATATCCCCCAGTCGAGAACCATTCGACTCTCAACCACACACCAGAGGCCAGAATAGGAAGGCTATCTGCTGTGAATCATGCCTCTGTCGGTGCAGAACTTTGGTCTAGTCAGGGAAGGAACCGGTCGCGCGGTTCTGAAGCCCATCCCTGTCCCAAAGTTGGAAGCCGACTATATTTTGGTTCGAACCATAGCCATCGCGCTAAACCCCACTGACTGGACAAGTCTGGACGCTGTTGGAGAGCCCGGAACGATTGTTGGATGTGACTATTCTGGGGTCGTTGAAGAAGTCGGTAAGGACGTGAAAGACAGGTTCAAAAAGGGGGATCGTGTGGCTGGATTTGGCCACGGAGGTGCGTACACGACCTACACAATGAAATTTCGTGTGATTCTTACCGCCCTACAGCCAATGACTTCAACCTGGAAAGTGGGGCTTTTGCAAGGTACATCGCCGTGAAGGGGTATCTTCAAATGCACATTCCGGAAGGGGTGAGCTATGAAGCGGCATGTACCGTCGGTGTTGGCGTTGGGACCGTGGGCTTCGGGTTGTACAAAATCCTGGAGCTTCCTCCTCCAGATAAAGGCCGTGACAACGGCGCCGAGACGATTCTCATATACGGAGGAAGCACGGCAACTGGGACACTTGCAATTCAATTCGCAAGGCTGTGAGTGATTTCCTAATCGACATATACTTCTGGCGTTGGTACTTATTCGAGTTTTCAAGCTCGGGTCTGACTGTCATAACTTCCTGCTCCCCAAAGCATTTTGAGATGGTGAAGGCTTTGGGCGCCAGTCAGGCCTATGACTACGTGAGTCCAACCGCCATACTATTCCTCGTGCGACACAGCACTCTGACAAGATTTGTCGTCTCCAGCATGTTCCCAATGTCGGTAGACAGATCAATGCAGCCACAAATGGCAAGTTGAAGACGGTGTTCGATGCAGTCGCCACGGAAGCTACGGCACGAATCTGTGCAGAAGCATTCGGAGACGCCGGAGGAGTGTATTGCAATGTCTTGGGAATTGACTGCCCCCATCCAAACGTCCGGTCAGAATCCTTTCTTGGCTACAGCCTTTCTGGGGAGCCATTCATCTATGAAGGAGAACTCTATGAGGCACAACCAGACCATTTAGCCTTTGGCACTTATTTCGCTCGAGTCGCTGAAAAGCTCTGGCATAAAGGAAAGTGGAAACCGCATCCGCAGCGTGTGGAGCCTGGTGGTCTCCTTGGTGTCCACGAAGGAATGCAGCAAATGAGAGAGGGGAAGGTCAGTGGTGAGAAGTTCGTTTATCTCACGGAGGAGACAGAATGGCCTTGACGGCCATCTTATCCAGGATTCTGGAATTTTATGTCATCTCGCTTGGCTCTTTCCACCTTATGGGTCAATGAAATGCGCTCCCCTCCCGTGAACTGACAGCGGTTATCGACGTACCTATTTCCTCACCAAAACGAAATCATGCTCCAATGTCCAGAACCCGACTGTTTTGTTACCTTGAGCGTCGACCCTCTCGAGCTTCTCTATCCCGAACTTCTCCGCCAGCTCGACATTTTCCGACCATCCAAACTGCTTGATCAAACTCTTCTTGACCCCGAAGACCGGGTCCAGCGCTACATTTGTGCTGTCATTGGAGTACAATGCCGTGGTAAGTTGTACACAGTCCGGGTGTTGAAGCACGAAATGCTTTCGCGTCACAAGTGGAATCAGCACAATATACGTTCTCGGGGAAAAGTGAAAGACGTACCACATGAGCCGGCCGCACATTCGATCTGTTCAGCAGTCGCAGCAGAACTCCCACCGGTCCATCGTACGGAATTGGATAATCGACCGCCCTTACGCCGACCAGCGCAAACCGGCCTGCTGCATCCGTGTGAAAGATACCCCGACAATCCGGTTCGTCCTTTTCGGGGTCTTGCATATCGTAAAAGCCGTTTCCATTCGTCTCCCACACATCCACTGAGACTCCCAACAGGGGATTTCCGTCGGTGTCAGAGACAGTTCCGCGGATGAGCATTGGCTCCCCAATAGCTCCCTTTGACGCGATTGATTGCCCATTCTCGAATTCGTGGGCTTCATTGTGGAACGGTCCGAGAACAGACGACTCTGTGGCCCGAGGGGCAGTGGGATTGTTGATTGCGTCGACCAGTGCGGAGATACCCAGGACATCGGAGAGGAGGATCATCTCCTGCCGGTCCGGGGTGCAAAACTGGCCGACCTATGAACAACTCAGTCGGTACTGAACCGAGCAGACTAGAACACGGAGTACGCGGGTCCAGACCTCTGTGAGATATTGCCACGCCGCTTCCCATTCGCCAGTGGTCAGTTTCGTGTCCCGGACAAAGTCGTGCGAGTACTGTATTAGCTTTGCAAACACGAACTTCAGCCGTTCGTCGTTGATATTCGACCCAAGTTTGATGACATGGGGCGTTAGGTTCTCGATAGTTAGATCGTCTGGTGAAGCATTTGCGGGCGCCATCGTCGCCAAATCCAGAACCTTAGCACAAGCACAAGCCGAAGCATAGGAACAAGCAACAAGCACGCACGCTGTACCTCTCTTTATATGAGGTTTTTCACCATCCGCAGGAGAACAAAGCGCAAACAGGCGACGGCGAAATAGGGAATGCCGGATGACAGATATGTCTTATTCGTGAAGATTAGAATCTCAATGCGGAAGTATGGCGTTGCCCGTTTTGGACCGTTTTCTTGGGGCAACATTAGCTTTGAGGGGGCGACGGAATGTTCCGAGTGCTGTTCGGGGGTTGAAATACCTAGGTAGTAATCAGCACCTAACGAGTGACAGGTGAGTAATACGGGTATGCACGGGGTATAGGGAACGGAATGGGGATTATTCCGAGCTCGACGATGACACTGTACATTAATATCTCTGTCAGCGCAACCCCGTGCTTGTTTCCGAAGCCGATTTGTCCTCGATAAGTTTTGAACGCTTACTATAACCATGGATGAGGACTACGGCTGGATGACAGCATCGGGTCAGTCTCTTGTAAGATATTCTTCGTGCAAACTTGCGTATCACCCACAGTTGGATTTCCCGTACATATACCAGAAGAGACAGTGCGAAGGGCAATATTTGTGACAAATGAGTTCTGATGCTTATCGTCTTCTGGCCATGGAATACTGTGTGCAAAAGCCCGCTTCCATTGGCTATGGTCAGAGTACGGCTGTGTCTCAAAATTACCAGGATCAACATTCGATCCAACCTCCGATATCAGATCATTGTTAGATTGGAAGCTCCGAAGTACAAATGATGTATGAACACCAGTTGGTTCGCTGGCGGCCCATCCCAGTGTCTGGGATACGACCAAGTGGCTTTGTCATATTGCAAGTTCACCAAGGGTTTGAGTGTCTGGAAATCACGTTTGACTGTTCTCACATCCACTTTACATGAATCTTGGGAGTGGAATCACGTCACGTTGTGAAAGACTAACAAGTCTCCTTTGTGGAAGTCAATCTTCCAGGGCTAGTCTGTTGTCTGAGGAAAAATCCATTCGGTGCGAACGTCTACCTCCCAGACACTGGCGGTAACTCAGTCAGTGTTTTTCGCATTGCCAGGCGCGCTGAAAGGGACGGTGGAGCCTTTGCAGTATGATGTCGTCCTTTGGGTAGAGGATTTGGAGTTAGCAACTAGAATATTCAATATGCGCCGACTTCGAGCAAATTGCTTTTCGGCAGGCAGGGCCATTTCTCATGGAAGGACCACCTTGACCGCAACCTCAAGTCCGTGTGTTTGACACCACTGCCCATCTACTTCTTTATATTCTAGTTTGAGATCAGCATGCGCTGCACAACGGTCAAGGTACTAAATAAGTGGTGAATCGTGAACTTGGCCTGGACCCCCTTCCGAACTTGGTATGCCGATGATTTTGCTAAGTAGGACAAAGCCGTTGCGTCGCTTCGTGATGTAGGAAGAGATGTCCAATAGTAATTAATTTTTCACAGAGGATGTAGTACGAAGTACTCAAAAAGAAAAATATGGCTCGTGGAGTAACTGGGGCAGCCCAGTACAGCGATTCTTCTGAGGCAAGCTGGCTCGCTGGGCAAGGTGGCTTAGAAATGCTGCAACCTAGTCGGTTAACCTTCCTTTCAAGGTTAAATTACCTTTAAGCAGCCTTGGTGCGTCAGTCAACGAGGTAGTGGACCGCGCTAAAGGAGGATCAGGGGGCGACAATTGTGAGTTGCGTCTGGGCCTCGTAGTAGTTGCTCAACTTCTACTCCGTACCCTGCAATCGTTCATTGATATGTCCATAGCAGGTTGATCTTAGAGTGGCAATTGTGGCTCGCTGACTGCCAGAGGGTCCGTGAGCTCAGGGATGTCTGCCACCCTCGATAGAATGTTCCCGTCTTCCATAGCCAGGCGTGTGGCGGAGGAACTGGGCAACATTCATTTACTAGACGAAGTCAAAGATGAAATATACAGTGTCCTTTCGGAAATCCACAGACCGAACTCGTTTGCTTGTTGCGGTGTCGCCAAAGACGCCGAAGATCCAGGGCTCTTCTTGATCGACCATGGTCCCATTCGTTTGCCCCTTTCAAAAGATGGCGCCGAAGCCATCATCTCAAAGTCCACGCAAAGCTCATTCGGCAAGGGCTCACAAACGATTGTTGACACACTGTTTCGGAAATCCTGGCAACTCAACCCCTCTCAGTTCGCTATTTATAACTCGAAATGGGATCAAATAGTTAGCGACATCGCCAGCAAGGTTCATGGCGAGCTCTTCATTGATTGCGATGTGAAGAACGTATTCGCCCAGCTGTACAAGACGCTCTTGTACGAGGAGGGAGCCTTCTTCAAACCTCATAAGGACAGCGAAAAAGCTCCTGGGATGTTCGGGACGCTGGCTATTTGCCTTCAGTCCCCCCACAAGGGTGGTGAGCTCATTGCGACCTTCAACGGCGAGACGAAATCGATCAAGACTGCGCCTAACTCAGGACTCGACATTTCGTACGCTGCTTGGAACGCTGACGTGCTTCATGAGGTGAAGCCTGTTGTGTCCGTGTACCGTCTTCTCCTGACCTACAATCTCATTCGCCTACGTGTGGACCACGACCGACTAGACATATCTCACACGCCTTTCGACTACAAAGAAGACCTGGTTTCAGCGTTGACGAAGTACGAAGACGGGGAACAGGAACCTAACTCTAAGTTTCCAAGTTTCCTGATATATCGATTGGAACATCAGTACACCCAAGCCAGTCTTCGCGCCGACCTGCTGAAGGAAGCAGATATCGGCCAATTGCAGTTCTTGAAGCAAGTGACGGACGACCTCGGCTTTGGAGTCTATCTTGCAAGTATGGAGAAGGAGATCAAAATGTCGGATGAGCGGGAGGACGAATCAGAGATCTCCCGAGACATCTCTTTGACGTACGTGGTTGATTTGGACGGTACACGGATCGACGATCAGAGATCAAGGTTGGAAGTCGATGTCAACGAGGAGATGATTATCGGTTCTGAGGCTTACGATGAAGAGGAAATGGATGACGAGGAGTATTCAGGGTATATTGGTAATGAAGGCTGTACCGCCACTTTCTGGTATCGTGATACGGTAGGTATATTTGTCTAACGATTACAAGCCTTTCACTTAGTGCTAACGATGCTCAGGTTGTCGTGATTGTTCCACCACTAAAGAAGATCGATTTCTTGTATCGATGCGACAAACGATACGAGCATGTGAGTTCTTGGATTTCGCAATTACGTCAAGCCCCCGAAACTGACGAGGCTGTCCAACGCGACCTGAGAGACCTTTGTGACGTCGTGATTGTAAATATGGATAAATACCGCTCCCGCTGGATCTGGGAATCACCTGAAGAGAGGAGCATAGGATCGCACTCACTAACAAAGTTCTTGCAACCGCGTTGCAATGCGAGAGACTGGATCTGTACGACAAGATAATCCAAGATGCTTCCACGCCCGTCACTGCTGATGTATTTCGGTTTCTTGGCAGACAATGGCCGGCGCTGTCAAGTCTGAGACTGTCAAAGAAAGGTAGTAGAAGCAGACGTCTCCTTAGCCACATCATCTTTGACCAGCGCTGACCATAGTCGAGGGTGAAGTACGCCCTATGTCTGGCGAAGACACTGAACGAGAGGCATGACGCCCTGATGTCACTTGTTGATGGCATTCAATCTACATCGACGCCCGAAATTGCGGATATCGCCGAATTCAAAGCCTGGTCAAAGCAGATTCTGATTCAATCTGCAGAGGACACCACAGGGACTTTGAAGATGTCAAAAGCAGATGCCATAAGTCTCGCCAATGTCGTTACAATATGGGAGGGGAAGGATACTGAGAGAAGTAAGTTCTCAGCGATGCGCAATTCAGTTCAGCTTACTCACAATTACAAGTGTGTTACCAACATTGCTGATGTGCGGCACTTCCTGCAAAGTCACTTTCGCCAACAGCTTTCCGAGGGAGATTGACAGCATAGGATCCAAAGAACGGGATTCTGTGTCTTCTAAGCTATCTCGCGAGGCACGTGTGCTTATTTGCATGAGAGTATACGCTGACATCTGGGAGACATTTGCGTTCGAGCCACCCCCAAAGACTCCTTCACCTAGCACTAATGCAGTTCAAAGCATCAACCAAGACCCACCTCGAGCAGTATCACCCACACCAGCTGCGGGCCATCTTCTAGATGGACATGACCTTGCAATCTTGCTCGAACGTACAATTTCTCTTGGCGTCCTCACTGAAGCAGAGACGAAAGGTCGTATGCGCACGACCGTTACCACCGCTGACCGCGCTACTTGTGATCATGCGCTCCTGCCGTTCGTGAAATTGGTCCTCGACAGCAGGTCGAGCATATGAGGCTAAATAGAGACTGCAATGAAGCATCCGAAGAGGATAAGAAGCTCGTGACTGCCATGCTTCTACTCTTTATCCTCGGCCGTGTTGGCACCGAGCCCATCACCGAATTCCACTGGTCTCAGCCGAAGGGTGGTTGCCGTCCCACATGCTCTGATTGTTCACGGGTCAATGACTTCCTCGCCGATCCCGCTCATAGAGTTGGCCAATTTCCCATGGGCAAAGCTCGGCGTCATCACGTGCATACCTATTACACAGATAACGCTGGCAAAAACTACACTGTGACGACCCTCCGGAACCCGAATCCCAATGTACTGCAGATTACCAAGAATAAGAGCAAAGCTGAGACCGTGCACGGCAGCTGGAAGCAAAGGAAAGCAGAGGCTAAGAAGATGATCGCGGAGCTTGCGAGTGCCCCTTCCTTTCATCTTTATGTTGAAGAGACAGTGCCCGCACCGATCCTCGCTGTCGAAGCGGCGAAGCTTGTGGCCCTGGAGAGACCACCTTTACTTGCGGCTGATGTCAATCGTCCTCCTGCCACTGGCTCGAAGAGAGCTGCTCCAGCCGATTCAGACGAAGAGGAGGTCTCAAAGATGATGATGACAGACGCACAGCCTGCACCCAAATTTGTGCGGACGAGACGTGGGCCTATAGAGGTCATCGGCCTCACTTGATGCCTACTGCTTTGCGAACCCCTTTCACACGATTTGCACTCTCTCTACCTTACGAGGACATCAACTCACCGGACTGTATGTTTTGTAATTAGACCTCCTGCTTGTTCGTGAAGGGGTGGGTTTCAGGCACGTTGCTTATCGATTGGAAGGGAGCCGCTTAGACCTGTTTTGTGCAATCTAGCGACTCGCACTTGTGTATATTAATTGATGCCGGAAGTTTTGTAGACTTGTGTCGCACGCCGCTTATGTACAGGGCTGGCTCATCAACCCGCTATTCATCTGAGTATACAGAATTCAATCAGTATGGGATTGAACACAATTTTCTGGAATTTTTGGTGAAACGAAACCAGCCGAGAGTTGAGAGGCCACTGACGAGGACAATTCGATCATTGAAGTGTTGGGAGATCTTGTGCGGTTCAAATCAAGGCCGTCACGCCAAAGTTAATTGTGGTCCGTTCTGCGGAGCGAAATGCTCAGCGCCTGGTAAGGCTGAGACCCCTTTTTCAAGACATACCAGCCCCCAGCGAAATCTATCCCAGCACGGAACAAGTCCCACGATTATCCCCTCAGCTTGAGAATCTTCTGTTAATCTAAATAACATTCACGAGACTGCGTCGGCAGGTCCACTTTCATTTGCTTGCTCGCTCGAGAATAAACGCGGGCATATGGGCAATCCCCGTGCCCGCAGCAACCAGCACCAGAGGTACGGTGAATGCCGTTGGTAGTTTAAAATTCGACCGCCTAATCTGGGCCTGTATCGTCTGCAGAGGGCTCTGCTTCTGAATTGCCCCGGGATCTTGACATGGTGAAGTACCGACCAAGGCCAAATACAGGGTCGTCAGTCCAAAAATCGCAGTCTCTGGCTTCAATGCCAGTTGCGTTGGCTTAACAGATACTGTGATCGAAACCTGCTTCGGTGATGTGATGTTCGAATTTGAGATGGAATAACATCGCGGCGACATTGTTGGAATGGATTCGATCACAAAGCTCAGTGGAAGAGATAACCAATTGATATTTGGATTCAGGGTGGACATATAAGCCAGAATCCGGGTAAATGCGAGGCGAGTGCTAGCCAAGAAAGCGTTCTCTGCGGCTTTGTCTTTTTCAATCTCACTGAGAACAATTTTGACGACATCTGACACTGCAAAGTCGACCAGGATCTACATAAATTGACATAGAATGGCAGCACAAACGTCCAGATAGTGTTCAAAGAGCGCCAAAACGTTGGTCCTCCGCGGTTACCTCAATTCATTGTAATCCTTTGATCAGCTTTCTTGATATCGAGCATTTGCAAGAGTCGATCACCTCATCTCTTGGACTCACAGGCCAAATGGCAATATGGTCTCCACCCTTGTGTTTGATTTCAGGTTGACCTGAAAGCTCTACATCCATGTAAATGCAGTCTCCCTCGTGTGACTCCTTCGTGATCAGAGACCGACTGGCTAGCATTCGGAAGGGTGCAATAGCAGAGACAAATCCACGTTTCTGGACCCTGTGCTGGGGATAGCCGTTTTCGACTTTACCTTCTTGTGGAACCGGATCGCTTGACACGTCAATCGTCGCCTGGTACTTGCCGGCATACTCTCTGTAACCAATTATGAGTTGTCAGAAATAGAACCAAGTTCTCTTTCCAAGCCATACAGTCTTCCTCGGTCATTGACCGGCCTTCATCAGTTTTGCCGGCATGCAAGAGCAAAGGCACGCCCTGGGGAGCCATTGTGATTGTCCTCCTCTTCAAAAACCTTGTTGTAATGCTTGTAGTTGCTATTTAATCCAAACGCGGCGAAGCGTACCGTTTCCAGTGCGTTTATTTGCAACAAACACTTCAGCTATCGAAAAACCTCTCACGCATTGTCACTTGGGTCTCCATCACCGTACGCCGATACCAGGAATATCGCAGATTTGGTGGAAGGGATATTGGGCATGCTTTCCGGGTGGTAGTCCGCGACAGGTCGGCCATGAGGCTTTGGAATCGCAACCTCTGGTACAATTCTTTGGCTAGTCGATGAGCATAGCCCTCGGCGGCGCCCGATTGAGATCCCCAGAAAGTGAGACTACTTGTCGGCCTGTCTCTTCTAGTCTGTCTGATATGTCTCTCCTCTTCTGTTGCGACGCGGTCTGAATCATTGAAGTCTGTGGGCGTTCAAACCATTTATAGTGGCAGGGATCCTGCCATACCCAGTTTCTGGAATTGTGGAAATATGTAAGCGTTCTAAGAAATAATATGGGCATGACGGCCATGTCGATATAACTAGTTTGCTCGCTAATGATTTAGAAAACTCCTCCAGCCATATTTGATGAGCAGCGACATTGCCCTGGGAACGTAGTTGTGGACGAGCTTCAGGTTAGCAGGATATCGAGATAGAATTCGAGTACATGTAGCGATGGGGGCTTCCTGGCATCCTTTTCGCAAATGAGACTGCGATGCAAACCAGACGCAAGGGATCGTTACTTAAACTGGTAAAGTCTCCGTAGCACACCGGCTGATGTTCTCATTATTTATGCTTCAGAAAGACGTATATCTGAAAGTCTCCTCTCGGGTTTCTACCAGTTAGTGCTACATAGTAATTCGGCAAACGGTGGGTGGTGGATATATAGCGGTTTACGCCAGCGAAATGGTCCTGGTGTGCAACATAAAATAGGAAATTTCCCTTATTCGGATGCTGCTAGATCCAGCCAAGTTCGCCGAAATGATCCCGAATAGGCAAAATACTTGCCAGATGCCGGTCCGAGGCCCCTATCCGCCATTGCACCACTTCCTCAATGCTAGAGACTACCTCCCAGTTGAGAATTCCTCTTCTCTTGAACTCACTACTGAGGGAATGAAATTATTGGCATGATGTATGACTTAAGAGTTTTGACGTGCCTGGCAGATTCATCCTGTAAGTGCTTTAAAGCTGACCAAATACCATTAGAACCGCACGTCCCACCTGCCAAATAGCATCTCATCGGACCAAGTTGCGAAACTCTTATACAACTTGACTTTCGACTTACCAACCGTATACCGGTAGGAGAACAGAATGTGCTGCTTCTCATCCTGATATTCGCCTCCCTCTTCGGGCTTGCTTTGTATTACTTTGTCCTCCCAGTCCTATACTACTTCTAGGATGCGAAACGTCTTTGAGAATATCCAAATTGGTCTACACTCTCAGGAATATCAGACCTTCCGTATGTCTTTCTGAGCTCGAGAGGGAGTCGGTCTAAGAGCATTCACGAGGCTCGCAAGATCGCGCCTATTTTGCAGATTGGCCCAAACTCTCTTTCCTTTGGCCATGTCAAAGCCATCAAAGGATATCTACGGTCATGGCTCGAGCTGCACAAAAGACTTGAACTATGTAATTCTCGGCGGGACGCACACTCACTTGATTGATGTTGTCGACAAAGTTGAGCTCGGAAGAAAATGGAAACAGCTCTCATCTGCCTTTGCCATTAAGAATCCTGAGGCTTGGGAGTTTAAAGTGGTAGAAGTGACTGAGCGCCTGCTCAAACAATTCGACATCCACTGCACAGCTCCTCTTCCTGTCGAGGATGGCATACCATATCCTGCTGATTTGAACCTTGACTACGGGAAATGGATCAACCTATTCACGATCGAAGCGATCGATAGTATTGCTATGTCTGCTTGACTAGGCAGGCCTCTTGGAACAACGGACGGACGAGGTTACTGCCGGAAAAAAAGATGGTGCGACTTATAGGGCTCGATACAGGCAGGCGCAAATCAGACATCGTACGCTCAGTCAGCCAAGTGTGGGAATATGATAATTATCACATGCCCGCAAGATTCTCTCGACTCATCCCAAAATGGCGCAAAGCCTGGAAAGAGGCTGAGCCATGGAACGATATTGTGCTCCACCAAGTCAACCAACGCTTGAGGCGATACATGGCAGGCGAGAAGCTTGACGACTTTTCCTCGGCTCTGATGGACGACAAATCTAGTAGACCTCGCAATTTAGAGCTGGGAGAGTTTTGTGCAGAGGTCAGCGTCATCATCAACGCAGGCGCGGATACGACTGCGATTGCACTCACGAACATTCTTGATATGTTAATCCGACACCCTCAACACCTTGATACCCTCCAGGAGGAAGTCGACGGGGTCCTCGACGATGACGAAGTTTTCGCTTCATATGACGAAGTCAAGCATCTCCCATTCCTACGAGCTTGTATCGATGAAAGTATGCGACTTATCCCCCCAACTTCCGCGGCCTTGATGCGTCGGACGCCTCCCGAGGGTACTCCGATCTTAGGCGAATGGATCCCGGGTGATACTGTAACAAGGCAAAGTGGCTGTGCTATGATGGGCTGTGCTGGGCTGGTGGTGGACTGGCAGGGCAGAGGTCTGTCAGGTCACATGTCAAACCTAATTAGATCGCTGGGAGCAGGACAGTGTACAGTGCTGGCAGTGTGCCATTCTTTACGTTTGAGAGAGATCATCAGGAATTCAATGGTTTTGATGCCTTCAAGCTATTCTTGAGTGTTTTATCAGTCCTGTCCTGTTCCTCGATGTTGCCGCTGTGCTAGGTGTTCGTAACCCTAGCCGCCGGCCCTCTGGGTGGTGTTGGTGGTGGTGTTGTCTTGTCAGTATCAACCAGAAACGCGTTCTCGATTCCCGATCTGCTGGACAGGCCTCTGTGTGTTGTTGCACGTGCACGCCGAACCCTGAAGCGATCTGTTACAATACAAGTGTTTCGATGACAATTTACGGTGCTCATCGCGATGCCAACATTTTCCCGAATCCGGAAAATTTCAACCTCAACGATGGATGGATTCGGAAGAGAGGAAACGAATGAAACCCTACTTCATCCCATTCACTACTGGAGGAAGGGGGTGCATTGGAAGGAATATTTCGTATCTGGAGCAAATTGTTGTGTTGGCATCACTTGTGCATCGTTATGAGTTTGCTCTACCTAGTCCAGAGTGGACGCTCAGTCGCCATGAGGCATTCAATATCATTGTGGGTGAGATGCCAGTCAAAATCTGGCGGGGGCGCGGTCCTGAACGAAGCCCTGATTCTCGACTTTCACCTTCTTCTGCATACTGACACACTCAATTAGCTTCATAGTCCTCATGATTCAATATTCAACAAAGTGCAGGAGACTGAATCCCACACCATACAGCTCTCTCTGATGTCGTTCCACACTTGCAAGTGACCAGGGAAGTCTACCGCCGATACCGCTAACACCCGACATCTTTTGGCTACTAAATATACCCAAATCCTTTGTAACCGTTCCAGGTAGTAATCAAGACGAGGTTCTGAGCATGTATTCTAGTATCTACTCGGTAAACTTTTTCAAACCTCCGGTTTGAGGTACCATGGCCCTCACATCTGATACAATACTATGGCCATTGCATTGCCTTTTCAGTATTACATTGTCGATTGCGGTGCTGTTTGTCGGACCCGCAGCCGGCGTTTGAAAGTCCAGATTTTGGGCGCCATGTTCTGTGGCCCTTCACAAAGACTCCGCTTCCAAAAAGAGACGAACTCGCCGAAACTGCGAAAATACAAACGACGATCTTCCTCCCACCAGTCCAAGGAACCATTCCGACGCGGGGGCAATTTTCCAGATGGGACTTTCCCCGGCTCTCTCCCCCCATACCCCCGGACGACATGTTGAACTAGTATTTCCAAACTTGAAAGTTGCCACACGCCCGCAGTTGTAGGTAAGTGAACGTTTCGCAATGAAAAGTTATATAAACGAGCGTTTCCTCCAAAAACATGGGGCCCCATCCTGCACAGTCATTACCACAACTGAAGGCCCTGCCTTCTGAGACTCGTTCTGAAACTCATCCATTGATACCTCGGTCGTCGCCAGAATGACTCAATACGATGTGAAGGGAACTACCACTTCCACCGAGGGCACCAACCATGAAGAATTTGCAGACCTCACAAATCAAGTGCTTCACACCGATCTTGTCTACGACAAGGAAGGCATTGGAGGAATCCTGCGGTCACCATTTGTTTTCGGTGCTGCCTTGCTGGCTTCTTTTGGCGGGTTTTCATTCGGATATGGTGAGAAATCCCCACAAGCAACCGCTAGAGGCAAATACTAACGCAATGTGCAGATCAAGGTGTTATCTCATTGATCCTGGTGATGCCTCAATTCCATGAACAATTCCCAAAGATTGCGCCCGATGGCCCCCACTATGGTTTCAATGTGGGTGTCATGACAGGTCTTCTCGAACTCGGTGCCTTCATCGGATGCCTTTGTCTACCTTCTCTGGCGGATCATCTGTCACGAAAATGGGGCTTGACGGTTGCAACATCTTTCTTCTGCATCGGTGCCATCATCCAAACTGCCTCTCACAACTACAACACGCTGGTCGCAGGCCGCTTCGTTGGCGGCATTGGCGTTGGTACTCTAGCTGTGAGTTTTTTACCTCATCAAACTATTTTCTCATCCTGGACCTTGTTCCATCTAGGTTGCCAAGCTACCACATGTGCGTTCGTTAGCTTCGATGATATACTGACTTGAACAACTCCGTAGATGGGTGCACCTCTCTACATCTCTGAAATTGCACCGCCGAATATCAGAGGGTCTCTGCTGGTGCTTGAAGCCATCAGTATCGTGATAGGAGCCATTATCGCCTATTGGATAACCTATGCAACCAGGTAAGATGTGGCCCCTTCCCCTCAGATGTTAGCGACCTTCTAACACATTCTGCAGACACATTACTAGTGACTGGTCTTTCAGGCTGCCATTCCTCTTGCAGATGGCGCCGGCTGTCGCGGTTGGGCTGGGCATCCATTTCTTCCCATTTTCTCCCCGCTGGCTTGCCATGAGAGGTCGCCATGGGGACAGCTTGAAAGCATTGGCGAAGTTACGAAGACTTCCACAGGACGACAACCGCGTCCAAACAGAATGGAAAGGAATCCTGGTGGACGTTCGCTTCCAAGAGGAGATGCTCAAACGAGAACACCCCAATACAGGCCCATTTATGCTCGAGATCAAACAATGGATCCAGCTCTTCAAGCCCAAGTACATCAGGCGAACCTTGGTTGCAATCGGCATACCATTCTTCCAACAAGTAATAGTCTTCTTTCCACCCTCTGATTGTTGCTGACGCGTCACCAAGTTTTCAGGTATCAACGCGTTCGTGTATTATGCCCCGACCTTTTTCGCTGCGCTTGGACAAAGTTACGAGATGACTCTCATCCTTTCAGGAATGGTTAATATCTGCCAGCTTGTCGCAGGGTAGGTTTGAACTGCTTTCCAAAAAGTCTCATTGGACACCAATACTTACTAAACCTTCTTAGGATCCCGACATTCCTCTTCCTCGACAAAATAGGAAGACGAAAGCTAGCCATCTTTGGTGGCTTGGCTATGGCCGTACCACACATTATCATGGCCGGCGTAGTTGGTAAATTCAGTCACAGCTGGTCAACTCACAAAGGTGTTGGTTGGTTTGGAGTAGCTCTGATATGTAATGCAATTTTACCCCTTACAAAACGTCGACTAGTGGCTGACTGAGCATAGACACGTATGTCTTGACGTACGCGGCGTCGTACGGGCCACTTGCCTGGACCCTGCCAGCAGAGTGTTTCTCGACAGCAAGGAGAAGCAAAGGCGTTGGCATCGCGACTGCCACTATCTGGATAGCAAACTTCATCATTGGCGTGGCTGTCCCACAGAGTAAGTCGCCCAAAAATTCAGGCCACTCACCATTGAGCCTGCGCGAGCTGTTTCCTGGCCTCAAAACACTAATAGGTGTGTTCTTTAGTGGTCATCTCGATCGGCTGGGGTACCTATCTCTTTTTCGGCTGTTTTTGCATTGGAGCCAGCGTCTTTTCGTTCTTCTTGGTCCCTGAAACTAGTAAGAAATCGCTAGAGCAGATCGCGGAGGTTTTTGGAGACAAGTCCATCTGCGAGCAGGCTGAGTTGATGGTGCACGTGGCGGAAGAGCTCTTTGGAAGGACGATATCCATTGAAGAGCTGAAAGTGTGATGTACGCTCGTAGGTCTGGCCAAAACGCACTGTGGAACCTCCAGAATCTAGGCGGTAGTTTGGTAGATGTTGTCTACCTCATTTTACTATCAAAGGGTAGGTCTTGCAAATAGGGGCACGCAGCCCATCTCAGCCTCGCCAGCCAGCAATGGCATAGTGCTTCCTTTTAAAAAATTCGATGCAAGTGGCTTCCATCCAGTTAGTGTTTGGCCGGCTTGTGCCCTCAACGTCCTTGCCACCAGCTCCAAGTTAGCGGCTAAGACTGTGACGCGGGGTGAGCAATAACTTTCTCCTTCAGCCAGTCCAGGCGCACATCCCCCACTTATGGATAAAACTCGTCTTCTACCTTGGTCAAACGGGCAGCCCGCCTGGCTGTCAGAGCTTTTAACCATGAACTTGGAGGTCTGAATTATCACCGTCTCCCAAGGACACTTCCTGAAGGACTGGCTTATATCGCCCAGGAGAGGAGAGGACGATGAAAGCGACAATACCACAGATGCGGCAGGACTAAGGACTACCAGCTCTCTTTCGACGCGAAAGTTCGGCTTCCGTCGCAGCGCTAAAGGACGACCGAATATGTCACAGGCTCACAAGGAACGAACTGTTCCATGCACAAGCTGCAAGAGTATGCAATCTGTTTGTTCTTCTCTCGGAGGTTTGTGAAGGCTTATGCCACCTTGCTGAGCAGACAGACACCTGAAATGTAAGGACACGCCTCTTGCAGTCAACCTGCATCAATGCTGAAGAAGCAACGAAGGTGACCCCCATACCCCATGCCGCAACTGCAAAAAGTCAAGTCTCCAGTGTTTGCGGCCGAGCAAGGCTTTTCGTTTCAAAAACCCCCCCCGGCCCAAACATGGATTTACATTCGATTCGAATCAGACATGGTTGGCAACCGACAAACATGGTATGTCCGTGCACTTCGGCCGCTGAGGGAGTCCCTTGCGCCCATTCACTCATTGGACATTCAGACGCGCTTTCTTACATCGATGTTACAAAAGACGTGGCTCGCGCCTCCGCCGGCATTGTGCAGTCTCCAGGTCAACCAAACGAGTCATGGTCTAAAGGCGGCACACCAGATCATACACATGAAGGTCGAGAGCAAGCGCAAGGAGCTCCTTTCAATTTTGACCAAGCAGCACCCGAAGAGCCAGTGGATTCTCCGACCCAGGATTCGGACCACCAAACAATCGAAAACCAACAGCCCAGCCATGAGGGGCAGTCTCTGCCCGGACGCATGGGAGGAGATCTGGTTGACGAAATCACAGTATCATCAAGTTTGATGCAAACCCGGCCTGTCGAGCAGACCCGCTCCCCATCGACTATCTCAAACAATGAGCAGTCCCTCTCAGCTAAGTCTCAAGCTCAAATACGGAGTCCGGCATTAACTACGCATAGTCTCACCTCAGGCGGGCAATCCATTCTCGACGCACCATATCCCTCTTACGCTTTCCCCTCACCGTATTATGCTTCTCCCGATGCTTTACACGGTCTGCCAGAGAAAGCAACCCATCAGGCATACACAAATCTTCAGGAGGCTTGCCTGGTCAAACATTTTATCAACAAGCTGGCACATGCGGTGAGTTCCACGCAAGGGCGATCTTTGCTGTTCTGACTCCTGCAAGTTCGAAACAACAGACCGGGACCGCCATTTCTCCCTCGTGATCCCTCAACGTGCCATGTTCTGCCCAGTGCTTTTATATGCAATACGTAAGTCTCATGCTTCTTGAGGGGAATACCTGGCGGCCTTTGACGATACCAGTCTTGATTGCTGGACTCCTCGCATTTCAGTTCAAGCTAAGAATGATTTCTAGTAACTGCGTCTGCACGCCACTTAACTCGGCTGCATTCTGCACTTAGTGACAAGCCCGTCGAATTTGAAGGTACCCCTCTGCCGGACCTCAACGAAAATTCGGCAATAGAATATCACAACATCTGCATTTCTTATTTGATGGAGGTATTGAATGATCCGAAGAAGACGATCAACCAGGATGCGCTGATTGCTGCAACAATCCTCAGATTTCACGAGCAAATCGATAGTGAGTCCTCCCTCTAGTATCGGCCTGCCCAAGTCAAATGTTCTATCGATGCACAGCAGCTTGGATCATGTCTAAGTAGAGGTTGACAAAATGGCATTTACAGCTCCATTAACCGGCTGGGATTCGGAGACATATTTAAGCGTCCTCCGAGGAGTCATCGAGTCGCAGCAAAACGAATCCTTTTATTCCCTGCGCACTATTCACGGTCCTCCCAGAGATTGCGATATATACGCCTCGAACAATGCGTCGCTGGCTCATTCTGCCTGCTTGATTGCCCTTCGCCAGGAGATCTGGTCTGTTTTGCTCTATCGTAGACCATTCCGCCTCCCACTCTGCCCAGACAACGACTACTCGAATCTGGACCCAGCAACGGACGATTATACATGGACAAACCGAATTTTGATCTGGTGCGCCGATGTTTGCAAATTCGCGTTTGGCGGGGAAGCTAGCATTATCGAGACAAGTAGCCGCGTTGAAAGGTGGAAGCGTCTCAAAGTCGTGCAAGACAAGTGGGATTCGGTGCAGCCAGCGTGCTTCAAGCCTCTTTACTACCGAGAAGCGGAGCCCTCGAGGGGCAAGTATTTCCCAGAGGAATGGCACATGAATGACTGCCAGGTGCTAGGACTCCAGCACTTCGAATTGGCGCGAATGGTGCTTGCTGCGTATGATCCGGACCTCCAGAGAATAGGACTAGGCGCCAGCTCATCTATTCTTACCCTCGAAGCCCAACTGAGACGCTCCACAATGCGGCTTTGCGGGTTGGCTCTCGCCAATTTGAATGATCAACCGGGCATGGTCACAGCTGCTGTTGGAATATCCATGTGCGGTGAATATATCCGCGATCCTGGGGAGCAAAACGCAATTGAAGGATTTCTCAACACTCTTGAGCGTGAGCACGCTTGGCCAACCCAGAGTGTCAGACATGCATTGCGAGATGCGTGGGAGGCAACACGGAAGCAGTCAGCTGCATTTTCAATCTCAACAGCGTGATTGGCCTGGCAGAAGTCTCTTTCAACGCTTCAAGGCTTGAGGAAGTCGGCACATAGGTCTCTCAACAGGTCCGGAAGTTGATGTTCTCATATCTTCAAGACGAAGGACAGTGGCGATCATCCAAAACAATCTCGGCAAAAAGAATTTCTAAAGCCTTGGCTCCCTCTTCAGGTCCCCCACTGGAATCATATATTCCCTTTTCTGTTCCGTCGATTGGAGTTATGTGGCCCTTTCTGACCCATCTTAAGGTGCGGACATCCAGACATTGTCACATTCATTGCATACTCTTGCCGGAATATCTACTCTTCACTTTACGAAGGGAACGAAATATCCCCTAAGCTTTGATGTACGTAAAAGACGCTGAGGTTGCCCCCGCTTTGGGGTCTTCCATCCCTGAGCTTTCACCAATAAGGGAATCTTCGGAAGACGACCCAGCACCCCCTAAGACTGTTATGGATTGGCAATTTGGTAACCATCTGGGAGCGACGCAACGCCACCTTCTCGGTTGTCACGTATGGCAAACCATTGGTCTGATGCCCTGCTCAGCCTATCGTCAATTCGATAGTGGCTCAGTCTCGACCCTTGCCGATCAATCCTTCGTTTTTCCGGGCATCTCCTCCCGCACCTTGCTCGGCTCAGCCGTCAGCTTTGAGAATTTACATGACCTACTCCGTACCTCGAGGCTGCAATGCTCTTGACTTCTCCGCCTTAGGCCTTTGGCCTCCCGGAACCTTGACGAAGGCAGCGACACATTCAATAAGCGCCGATAATGAATACGACAGATCCCCGGGTGGGCTCGGCCCGCGACAACTCTACAAGCCCTGGACTGTCTCGGGTGGTTTCTGGCTCCAACTCATCTTCCACGAGCAACCTTGTGGCGACGCTAGTGCCTGTGCTGATTTGGGCCGCCCTGTGCATCATCATCTTCGTAATTCTGCGACGCAAATGCCCTCGAGTATATGCTCCAAGGGCCTCACTGAAGAGCCTGGAGCCACAGTATGTCTCTCAGTCCTGATTTCTCACCTGTTCCTGTTAACACCTTGCGACTGACTTTTCGAAAAGCGAAAAGAGTGCGCCTCTTCCCAATGGGTGGTTCAACTGGTTCACCGAATTTTACCGCATCCCTTCTGTGTTCGTGCTGAATCACTCATCTCTCGATGGATATCTCTTTCTGCGCTTCCTTCGAGTGCTGGCTGTGATATGCCTCGTTGGAATAGGGCTGCTTTGGCCAGTTCTACTCCCAATCCACGCGACGGGAGGGGCGGGCAATCAGGGATTGGATTGCTTGACCATGGGAAATGTTGTAAATCACAATCGACTGTACGCCCATACCCTCCTGTCGTGGGTCTATTTTGGTAAGTCATCTCTAGGCTAAACAAACTGCATTTCCAGTAACGTATAATTCAGCATTCATTCTCTACATGGTGTCACGAGAATGTGTATATTATATCAATTTACGGCAAGCGTATCTCCTTTCACCATTTTACGCAAATCGCTTGTCCTCTCGAACGGTCCTATATATGAATGTACCTCGGCACTATCTTGACGAACAAAGGCTTCGATGGATGCTTGGAAGCTCTGTCAAACGAATTTGGATTCCTCAAACGACCAGTGAACTCGAACGCCTCGTTAAGGAAAGGGAACAGACGGCCATGCGCCTGGAAAAAGCGGAGTTTGAGCTCATCAAAATGGCCAACGCTGCAAGGACGAAGGCGCTCAAGAGAGCCGAGAGTGAAAGGAAACAAGAATCGAGGCATCCCCCTCCCGAGCCCGAACGCCGTAGCGGGAACGGCCCAGACTCGGTTTCGAAATCTGGCACTGCCGAATTCATACGAGCACCCGACAATCCAGAGGACGCTGCTTATCCCATAAAAGAGATACAAGAGCGGACTCTGCCCGACGTCAACGGATCAGTCGCATCACAGTGGATTCCACATAGCTCGAGGCCACACCATAGACCAATTGCCAATTATGGACGCCGCGTGGATACAATCAAGTGGACAAGAAATCAGATCAGGAAGTTAAACAGTCAAATTGCCAAAGTCCGGCGCGACCAACTTTTCAAGACCGATGGCATGCTGCCCTCCGTCTTCGTGGAATTTGAGACACACACAGATGCACAGCATGCTTACCAGACCCTGACACATCACCGCCCGTTGCACATGGCTCAGCGATTTCTCGGTGTACGACCGTTCGAGATAATATGGGAGTCATTGTCAATGTCGTGGTTGGAGACCATCGCACGAAAGTTTCTAATCAAAGCTCTCATAACCGCGATGATCATATTTTGGGCCATACCATCCGCTCTTGTCGGCACAATTTCCAACATTGACTATTTGTCGAAGAAAGTCAGTTTCTTGGGGTGGATCGGGCATCTCCCGAGTGCGGTGAAGGGCATCCTGAGTGGTGTTGTTCCAGCTCTTGCCTTGTCCCTGTTGATGAGTATCGTTCCCGGAATCTTGAGATGTAAGTTGAGCCTTGGGCTCCCAATATTCCCATTGCTGACTGTTAACCAGACTGCGCGAGGCTCGGAGGAGTCCCAACTCTGAGCATGATCGAGCTCTACACCCAGCATGCCTACTTCGCATTCCAAGTCGTTCAAGTATTCCTAATAACGACTCTAACATCAGCGGCATCCGCAGCCGTTACAAAGTTGCTCGAAGACCCGACAACAGCAAAGGATTTGCTCTCACAAAACTTGCCCAAGGCTTCCAACTTCTACCTCTCGTACTTTCTCTTGCAGAGTCTGGCCCTCGGGTCTGGGGCCCTTGTTCAATTCGGCAACTTGTTCCAGTTGCATGTGTTCCAAAGATACATCAGCAGTCCAAGGAAGATGTATTTGAGATGGCACCGACTGCAGCGGATCCATTGGGGAACAGTCTTCCCCGTCTACACCAATCTTGGTGTCATTAGTAAGGCTTCTGCAGGGCATATGCTATGGAAGGTCTGGTTCTGACAGGATAACAGCTCTCAGCTATGCACTTATCGCCCCAATAATTCTCGGATTTGCCGCTGTCGGTCTCCTTTTTCTGCACATCGTGTACCGATACAACCTGATCTACGTTTACGACTCTGAAGTCGACACCCGAGGGCTTGTCTATCCACGCGCTCTCATGCACTTACTTTTGGGCTTGTATTTCTCTGAGGTTTGTATGATTGGGCTGTTTTCGCTCAAAGGCGCTTACGTCCCGGTCGTGTTGACTGTGGCTCTCCTCGTCATCACTGGATTGGTCCATACCTCACTCCTCGATGCTCTTGGGCCTCTTTTGTGGAGTCTTCCGAAAAGTCTGACTGTTCAGGAAGATCAGCACTTGTTGGGATGCCGCCCCATAAATCCACGCAACGCTGAAGATCTGGAGCCGTCCGAAGAATACCATTCCGACAAGGAAGAACAGGAGCCAGAGCATAGCAACAGCAGAACCCTGGAAGGCGCCAGTGGAGCATTCAGCGCCTTGGGGGGAGGTATCAAAAAGATGCTCAGGAAGAAAGTCAAAAGGGAAGTTCCTGAAGCAAATATCCTAATGAATGCTCTTATGGCATTTTGGATGCGATGGATATCACCAAATCCGGCAGACAAGTCCAACTTCCTTCTACGTTGGCTCCATCCTGAAGTGTACTCCGACTATACTCTTCTTCGTCGAATGGTACCTTCTGACTTGCCGGATCCCGTGTATCCAGAAGAGATTGAGCAGGATATCTATTATCCGCCCTCATTTTTTGCAAAGCCACCGACTCTGTGGATTCCTCGCGATCCCGGTGGAGTTAGTCGACAAGAGGTGGAACACAGTGCAAAGGTGATTCCGACCACAGACGAATACGTGCATATAGATGAGAAAGGCCGTGTGATGATCGATCTTGAGGAGAGTCGACTCGTTTTCGATGTTAACCGGCTGAGATATTGATATGATATTGGCAATGACATAATTAGAATCTAAGCAAGTTGGAATTTTTTTGGAATTCAGTAAAACTTAGGACCATAGTGCGCGCAAGGCTGTGTCGCAAGGCTGTGTCGCAAGGCTGTGTCGCAAGGCTGCTACGCGCAGAAGCGGAAATTCTTAGCGCGCAGGCTGAGAACTTTCAGATGCACCCGCACCGTCTGCGCCATCTGCACCATCTACTCCGAACAAAAACATTCAGCACACGCTGCATATTACTCTTCCCTGCGCGAATTCAGGCGCGCTCAGAGGACAATTGAACCAGTGTCTCGCATATTCTCTCCACCATCCGGTTCACAACCGACTCGTTCTTACTCGCCATGAGTTGATCGACCTCCGCCTCGAAACTCTCTTCCATACCTCAACCTCTCTCCCACCACAGTCTCAACATGGCGTCGACAGCCGTGCGAAATGGCAGTATCGCCAGCGGTCTCAACGGCGGGGCGGTAGGAATTACACCTGCGTCACGCTTTGCCGATATCCCGTCCGCGATCGATATTCCTGTGTCCGGTGGACTGGACGCCGATGAAGCGGTCGAGGTCAATCTCGAGGATCACCTCGACGACCCCACGGAGCTCTGCCAACTGTTGGAAAATGAAAAAGCTGCTAAGAATCTATGGATCACAATTGCTTTGGCATACGCAAAACAGGCGCAAATTGATCATGCAATCGAAATCTTGGTCAAGGGCATGGGTTCCCTCTCAAGAAGTGGGCCCAAAGAACGTCTGAGCCTACTGACCTGTGTGGCCTGGTTGAATCTTCTCAAGAGCAGACAAGCCCCACGAGTCTTGCCTGAAAACCAGCAATCGTCCGATACGAAGACCAAAGATCATTACCTGCGCGAAGCCACTGCCTCGATCAACGACGCACTTCGAATCAACCCTGCCTTTCCTCCACTGTATCTCACTAGAGGCGTTCTCTTCCTCCTCCGAGCCTCCTTGCAAGCATCAACCAAGGCTGGATCAGATGCCGAAAGAGCAGAATCCCTTAAACAGGCTCTCAAGTGTTTCGACGACGCGCTGAGAGCTTCCGAGGGACGCAACATGATGGCGGCAATCGGAAGAGCTAGGACACTCTATCTGCAGAAGCAGTATGGCCCAGCACTGCAAGTATACCAAGATGTGCTCGCCAAGATGCCCGGCCTCACAGACCCGGATCCGCGGATAGGCATTGGCTGTTGTCTCTGGCAGCTGGGATACCAGGACAGAGCGAAGACGGCTTGGGAGCGATCACTAGCACTGAATCCCGACTCAAAGATTGCACATTCTCTGTTGGGTGTGTACTATCTATACGAAAGCTCCAAATACCCGGCCTCCGACCCTCAATTCAATGCTCTCTACAAGAAGGCAATGATTGACCATACGAAACAGGCTTATACTATCGACAAGAACTACCCACTTAGCTGTGCCACTTTTGCCAGCTATTTTCTCCTGACTGGCCGCTACGATACGGTGGAACCTTTAGCACGGAAGGCCATCGAACAGACCGACATCAACGCAATCGCCAGTGACGGTTGGTATCTGTTAGCTCGAAAAGAGCACAACAAAGGTGACCTGCCAAAAGCAAATGACTATTACAATAGATCCGACCAGGCACGAGGCGGTCTAGATCGAGGCTACTTCCCTGCAAAATTCGGTCTCATTCAGATTATGATTCAGACCCAGGACATCCAGAGTGCCAAGTTTCGACTCGAAAATCTCGCTCAGCTCAACCGACATGTAGAAGCCATGACGCTCCTGGGTTGTTTGTATGCCGAAGAAGCATTCTCGGCTCAGAGCACGGCGACCAAAGAAGATAAAGCAACGGCAGCGCGGAAGGCCATACAACTGCTAGAGAATGTTCGAAAAACTTGGAAAGACGAGAAGACCCGGAACAAGCCCGATGAGTCGGTTCTACTCTACCTCGCACGTCTGTATGAGCTCGAAAATCCAATCGAAAGCCTAAAGTGTCTCCAAACAGTCGAACAGATGCAGCTCGAGAAAATTCCCGATGAGGATAAGCCGGATCCAAACGAGGAGGAAGCAACGTACATTGCTCTACTGCGCGAAAACCTGCCTCCGCAGCTTCTTAACAACATGGCGTGCTTTCTATACGGGCAAGAGTCATACTCCTTGGCTCGAGAGACATTCCAGATTGCGCTCAACGCATGTGTCAGACTCACTGAGAAGCAAGAGGCCGAGAAGAAGGCACTGGAAGAAGAAAAGATCAATGCGGAGGATGTTGACAATAGCGACACTGATGCTCTGGTGACCACGATTTCATACAACCTCGCCAGGACTTTGGAGGCCTTGGGCTTGACAGAGGAGGCTCAGAAAGTGTATGAAGGTCTACTTGCCAGACATTCCGACTACACGGATGCCTCTGCCCGCTTGGCGTTCATAGCCTTGGAAACGTCACCGCGAGACGAAGGACCGCGAAAGATCCACGCAGTATACCAAAGTGACTATGGGAACACCGAAGTCAGGGCATTGATGGGCTGGTACCATCATAGCGCCAAGAAAAAGACTACCAACATTGCCGAAGATACTGAGAATCGCCATTACAAGCACACATTGCAGGGCTACGACAAGCATGACCTTTACTCTCTCGTTGGTATGGGTAACATTCATCTTACAATCGCAAGAGACATGCCCCGAAACACAGATCAGGAAAAGGAAAAGCGGAGCAAGATGTATGCCAAAGCATACGAGTTCTTCGACAAAGCGCTGCAACTGGATCCTAAGAACGCTTATGCCGCACAGGGTGTTGCGATCGCTCTTTGTGATGACAAGAAAGCATACTCGGACGCTCTGCAAATATTCACCAAGGTCAAGGACACTCTCCGCGATGTGTCGGTCAACACGAATCTTGGCCATGTGATGACAGAACTTCGGCAGTATCAACGTGGCATTGACAACTACGAGATTGCACTGAGAAAGGAAGGCAAAACGGAGAATGCCCAATTGTTGGCGTGCCTGTCGAGGGCATGGTTATTGAAAGGCAAGGCTGATAGATCTATCCCTGCTCTGAACACTGCTCTCGATTACATGAAACGCGCGCTGGCTACTCAACCGGACTCTCCTCATTTGCAATTCAATGTGGCTTTCATTCAATTCCAAATTGCACAACATGTGAATCAAGCCAAGGAGACGGATCGGACCCTTGAAGATGTGGATGCCGCTATCGCTGGGCTTGAGCAAGCCATCGATACTTTTGAACGAGTTGCTCGTCACAAACAGCCACCATATCCCCGAACAGCACTTGAACAGCGAGCGGCTATGGGCAAAAACACCATGAGAAACCAGCTGGAGCGACAACGTGGGAGGCAGGCCGCCTATGAAACCGAAAATGCCACGAAATTGAAGGAAGCAAAGGAGAGGCGTCAGGAGGAGCTCCGCAAACGCGAAGAAGCGGCAAGAAGACGCAAACAAGAGGAAGAGGAACGCGCCCAGAAGATTGCAGAAGAGCGGCGAAAAATCGTCGAGGAGACGGAGAGAATTGCCGAGCAGATTCGAGCCGAGGCAGCAGCAAGGGAAGCTGCCGAGTATACGGACGACGAAGAAACCGGGGAGCGAGTGAAGCGAAAGAAAAAGCCGAAGGCTGGAGGCAAGCGAAAGAAGAGAGATGATGAAGACGGATTCATCGAAGACGACGACGACGGAAAGAGTGAAAGAAGCATATCACGAACCCCAATGAGTGGCACAGACAACGAAGCTCCGGCGGAAATTCCAAAGAAGAAGAGAAGAAAGTTGGAGAGGAAAAGTGCTCCAAGAGAAACGCCACGGCGAAAGAATGACAAATTCAAATCCGCAGCCGTGGTTGTCGACTCAGATTCTGAATTGGAAGACGAAGCAAGTGCTGTCGCGACCCCAGAAGAAGTTCCCGATAAAGACGAAGAAATGGAAGGTCTACGCGATGAGCACGAAGAAGAAGAGGAACAAGTTCGACCAAAACCCCCGCCTAGACAACGCAAACAACTTCGGACTATTGCCGATGAGGATGATGAGGATGAGGATGAGGATGAGGATGAGGAAGAAGACTTCAATCCTGGCGCCGGTGGTGATGCGGACGCACCAAGGAATTCTGACGAGGTCGGCTCTAGGAATAACGATGATGATGAGTAGGCGGCACGGCCTTGGAAGTTCATGTCCTGTCGCCCTTTCTGCACAGTGAGCAGCAAGGCCGAAATGGCGATAGGTAAAAAGCGTGTTTCCGACATCATTGGTTCTGTATATTTGCCCTACAGTCTTTCCTGAGTCCGTGCCTCAGCTGGTGATATGGTCGGATTCCTGCAATGTATAACATCACGACAATTTTATTCTGATAGTGAATAATTGCGTAGAGAAAGGAGCATTGAGCTTCCAGGCACGGAAATGTGGAAGCAGTCAACTTGAATACATGAAGATTTGCCCTCTTAACGACTAAATTTATGAATTTGGTGATTGTCAGCCTCGCCCCGGTTAAAAGTGGGCTGCTCCGCAAGGCTGAAGTACGAGATAATGACTCGCACCAACGAACGACCTTCACGTGTGTCGAGTCATTTGACTGTGCGGTCGCCTACTGCAGGGACTTCGAAATATCCCGCTCCCGTCGCCTCACACCAAGGTGCTCCTAATACGGGTCGCTTGATAAAAGATTCATGGCTGCTTCGCAATCAAATCAGGCCCTCGTTAGACGGTCGTCTGCGGACGATGTCGGTCTTATGCCCCCACCGCCTTTCAAACGCATCAAACGGCCACCCAAGGTTTTAGACGAAGACGAATACACACAAGCACTGTCCGACATCATTGCACGCGACTACTTCCCCGGTCTGCTCGAAGGTCAGGCGCAGCATGAGTACTTGGCTGCGCTAGACTCCGGAAATGAGTCCTGGATTGTGGAGGCGTCGCAGAAATTGAGACAGGCGGCAGCGCCAGCGGGCGAGAGCAAGAGGAGGTCGACACGGAACACTAGATTCGACAGGACTCCTTCAGCGACGCCTCGCCCGGTTGGAGATACGCCGGTGGGATATACAGGCAGCGAAACACCCACGACGGTCGCTGGAACCGAAATTGAGGAAGGAGGGGAGCAGCAAAAACAGTTGGATACATCGACACTCTCGCTAGGTTCGTTCCAGGCGAAATATACCTCGGAGGACAACGAATCCTTCAACGCTCTCCTAGACAAACAAAATCGAAAACGGCGCGAAAAACACGCTCATCTGTGGACTCAGGATCAGCGGCTCCCTTCTGCACGACAAATCGCGCACCGCGCCCGAGAAGCCCGACTCCTCAAAGAGCGTGAAGAAGACGAAGCGGCAGGAAGAGCTCTAGTTCCTATGACCTCGGGCGCGACAGATACCCGCCTTGCGAGGCCCGATGCTTGGAAGATCAGGCGTCCAGACAACAGCTTCATGTTCCACGCGAGTTCTGTGGACGAAGATGGGCTACAAACCGTGCAGGAAGTCAAGGAGGAAACCTCCAAAGCTGGTCCGAAACACGTTGTTCACGCAAACACGCGATTTCCACCGATGCAATACCTCGACGAACCTGGCCCAGTTCCTCCCTCGCCCTCGCTAAATTCGGAAATCATTGCGCAACGCACCAAGCGACGCCGAGAGGGCGGCGATTCACTGACGACCACCAACTTCCCGGGAAGCGAAACCCCGCGTGTGAACGGTTTCGCGTTCGTCGAAGAAGACGAGCCTGAAAACCTGCCCTCCACAATCGAGTCTTCGGCCCCGAGTTACCGCGATCTCTTAGCTGGCCAGGTCGGCGACGGCACGCCCAACCCGTTCAAGATAAGCGAGATTCGCAAACGAGAAGATTTGCATCTGAGGATACTGGAAAAGCAGGCGAGGAGGAAGAGGGAAAAGGAACGCGAGACGATGAGAACACCTGGTTTCGTGTTGGGGGCTGATGGCAAGACGCCTTTGACGCCGCAGGCTGTCGCCGCCGGAAATATGACCCCTGCAGCACGACAGCTGATGAAGAAGCTGGGTGGCAGGACAAGTGTTAGATCTGGCCTGGGGCTTGGGAGTGGGATGGACGGGGCTGAAGGGAAGGAGATGTGGACTCCTGGACGGACTCCCAGGAGGAGACACGCTAGGAAATAATTCAGCGCGGCGGTATTGTTCACGCCGTACGTCTCTCGGAATGATTCTTGACTACATATGGTGCACCCGGTGCGTCGGTCCGTCTTGAAGCAAAGCCACCAGGAGACCCGTCTCCGCCGTGTTCTGTATACCCAAATTCTATACTCGGTACTCATACACTGCCAATGTCGTGTCCATGTGGGGCCGAGATCCATCCTCGCCGAGAATTCCTTGTTTTTTCCGGACTGTCCTCGACGTAATAAGATCGTCAATATACTGTTTTGGACTATATTGACTTCCTTGTCCAAACGTGTATTATTCCGCAGCCTTGTGCCACTCCCGCTCAGGGCGGAAATTTTAAATCAGGGGCTTCCCGCCTTGTCGAACTCAACGGTCTCCATATTTCCGGTTACCTTACTTGGCTCATACAGTAGGGGTTCCGGTTTTCCGCTTTCCCTGCTTTGCCTTCCTTTGCTCTTGCCATTGCTGCGCTCGATAATACGATACGGTATGCCTTACCGTTCCTTTTAGACATGGTGGTCCAGAAGGTCAACGCACGATGTCGAGAGCGAAATCAAGATAGAAGGGATGCTCCTCATAGAAACCCAGAACATCGTTGGCTGCCGAACCGACCCTTGCAATTCGTAACGCCGTATGCTCATTCTAGAACGTTCCTAAAAAAGATTCCTCAGTCCCAAGAAAACCGCCAATAACGCCATGCTATACACGCTCGGTCGCAAAATGGTGCTCCCGCTCAAATAATAAGCCGCCCCCAAATAACTGCAACTGATGACCCCTTCCGACTCATTGACCCGTTTGCCGTAACTCTCTTCCAGGCCCTTTCCCCGTAATGGACAAGAGAATCCTAAACTCGCCGGACAACTCTGCACGAGATCATAACATAAATCTTCGCAGGGCAGGACTTCCTTGTACGGTCCTGGTCGGATGGACGTATCAATAAGCGGATTTCGAGAAGAGTTCGTGGCGACGGCATTGAGAAGAGCTTGGTTGACGTTGAATTGCAACGGGTCAGATGAGATGCTCGAGCCGTTGATGAATGGCTGGGCCAAATTCCGTGGCTGGAGGAACGAAGCTGGGTTGGAGAAGTCTGCACAGCGAGGGATAGTCACTGCGCAGAGCCATTGTTTGTATGCCCGGGCGCAGTCGTCGCAGTTGCGGGCTAGAGAGTATTGAGCGCTTGAAGTTGTATTGCAGGGGATTTGTTGCAGAGAGTAATTGAAGTATTGGTACATTTGGGCCGCGTTAGAATCATACAGTGCGGCTAAATCTGGGAGACCCGTCTCCGGCGAGAATAAGTCCGGGTTGGTGGGTACGGCGTAGGCCACTTCGGAGCAGAATGAGAGGTTATACATCAGAGCACAGTTGCTCTCGGTTTTGGTCTCGAATTCAATGGCAGCCCAGACGGTGCCGCCGCCTCCGACCACACCGGCACCGGAGTCCGTGGAGTTGCCTTCCATGACCAGCATGCCCCAGTATTTTGAAGTGGCGTTGAGACCCGTGATGTAGAATTGCTCTTTCGGCTTGCCGCCCAGTCCCCTATTGGTCATTTGGGCGACATTTTGGTTGGTGATGCCGTCAATATTGGCTGCCACTTTGGCGTTGTTTTTCAGACCGCAGAAGGATTTTTGGACTCCGAGAATTGTCCGCTCGTTCTGATCCGAAGCGAAGACACCCCATGGGGGACTTAACTTCATCCATTCCTGGTAGACAGTCTGATTGGGAAGAGCCTGAGTGGTATCGTTTGTGATCAGGAGTGCTGCATGGTTGTCGCCGTCGACGAAATACAGATTCTTCACTTCTGGGTCCTCGAAGCCATAGAAAGGTGCGTCGATTGAGGCAGCAATATTATAATTCCAAATACCAGAAAATTCCGTAGTGTTGGGCGCAGATATCCCCACATACACGTCGTTATCAGCATTCGCCTCAAATATTGCATACCCTCCATCAACCGCAATGGTTTGCTGATCGGTGTGGCCGGATCCCGGACCCGGTTTTTGGTTTGATTCGGACAAGGAAATGTACATCTGCAACTGCGGAGGCACCGTATTGGTCGTATTTGGCGAAGGTTGCAAACAAGTGTTGAGTGTAATGTAGATTTTGCTCCCTGTCTGCCTTCTTCTGAGTTCGTGTTGTTCCGGCTGTAGCTCTGTTTCCTCCAGCTTTTCGCCTGGCAGACCGACTCCAGGCGTTCCGTGTGGACCATCTATTGCATCCTTTGGAAACACCCAGTTTTGGGTCTGACCAATCTCGATGTTACTGTTCGCCGGGTCGTTATTAGCCAGCGCAGACACCCCGACTTCAGCGCGGACACTTATTCTATGCTCATCAGTCTCTTCATATGGCTGCTCGTCCGATATAATGTAAAAATTGTGGTCTTCGGAGGGTATCCGAGAGGATTCAGACTCCAGGGCGTAAGCAAAGTGGGGTTTCGTCAAGGATAGGTATAGCAGCAACAGGACGACGGACGCAGAGAGACATGCTGCAAATAAAGGGGCCAGCTTGATAGGTGGCATCGTGAAGTCCAGCTTCGACTCGGTGCCCGCGATGAGAAAGGGAGGGGGTTCAAATGAGCGCTACAGGAGGAGCATTGTGGCTTGTGCTGAAGAGTTGCGGGTAAAAAGGGAAGCCGAACGTTGTTGATTAAAAGCGGTGCAACGAAGAGTGGGCAAGATTGAGCATCGGGATGTTGGAGTTGGGTGTCGAAGGAGCCGCAGACCACAAGGACCGTCAGATCTCAGCCTCGTGCAGCCTCGCGCAGCCTCGCGGGCCCCGCTTATGGACACTTTTTGTTCGTTCCGATGCGAGTTCCATGGGAACTTCATCCATCGTTTTCACCACTTGGCAAATTAATTCACGGTATCTCAGCGAGAATTGCGGCCCCTTGCACCGGAAGACATTGTCAGACCCTTGCTGCTGTAGGGTCAGGGCATATATGTCTCTCCTACAAAGGAAATAACCCCAGCTTTGGCGCTGTCACTGCGCCACTTCGACAAAAGTTATCTCAACCTCGCACTCTACAATGGCAGAGACGTGCGAACACAAGCCAACTATTGGCTGTGCTTTGACCGCGGTGCCTGGCTGCTGCGCCTGCGCGGACAAGAGACCGCTGGTAAGCCTCTTCCCAGACTTCTCCCCCTTGTTGTTGGTGGGGGTGTTGAATGCTGGCCTTCTCTATCCATGCTTTCCTCGCTTACAACAAGTCAGGCAACTGCCTACCCTCTCTACATTGACGGCCAAGGCATGAGACTTCAAGGCAGGCGCTGGCAACGCTACTGCTGGAAGTGTCGTGGTACGTCCAATGACTTATTCTTTTACTTTATGTTTGCGCTTTGTCATCTTCGTCGTCGGCTTCATCAGATTCCAACTATAAGTCGCTCGCTCGTTAACATATCGTTAATTTGCATTATCAGATTATTGGAATCTACACTCACAATCTACTGCATCTGCGTCTCTCCTCTCCAACCCTCCAACTCCCTATGCTGCAGTCCCGTCGGATCAGACCCTGCTCCCAACTAGAGACAGCATGGACCATGCACACACCCACCCATCCCCACTATCCGACTCGCGGCAGCAATCATGGTCATTTGACGGAATCAATGAAGCACAGCACTCTGCTGGTAGTGAATCAGTTCCAATTCCACCACGTCACCCCTACAACCCTCGTGGCACTGGGTATTCTAGCCACGCCGGAACATCAGATGGGTACCCGAGGAGCGATCCTCTACACCAGATGTTTCAAGAGAGCCAACAGGCTCAACAGGCCCGATTGGCCCGACGAGCCCAACTAAGAGAGGGTGGACCGCCTTCCGGTTCTCAAAGAATCACAGCACGGCAATCGGGTCCGAATGGTGATTCGAACCCATCGGCCTCAAGAAGGAGGGAACGAGCCTTTACCAATCCATTTGGCACCCGAGAGGAAATTGAGTCTGAAAATTATCAGAGCCCCATCACGGCAATGTTTGGTCGCGCCTGGAATCGCTATAGACAAGCTGAGGAGGAGAGATCATCCATGGAAGCCGGAGCCACAAACGCGGGCGATACGCCGAGAGAGGCTACTGTCAGTGTTCTGGGCACCGGACCACTCCAGAATGCGGAGATTCAACGGCAAGTGGATGCCGTGATACATCGTAGGCGGTGGCGGGAGGAACAGCAGTTGATAGAAACCTTGAGGGACGCATTACAATTAAGAGAAACTCTTCGGCGCGAGAGAGATAATCCACATACCCACCCACAGATCAATCCTATCGACTCTCAACCACTACGACCACGACCGCTCGACCCGGAAGAGATGGCCGTTAACGGCGCCTGCAGAATATGTTGTGAGCAGAAGATCGATACACTCTTGGAGCCTTGCATGCATGTTGCCATCTGTCACTGGTGCTCGGATTTGTTACTCGAGCAAGTTCGGCGGCATCGTTCCATACTCCAACGCCTGGACGGGGACGAATCAAGGTGGAAATGTCCGATTTGCCGTCGTGCCGTCGTGCGGGCACGAAGAGTGTATCTGGCTTAGATGTCCGTGCTAAGTCAGGTTGCAGTAGCAACTATTCAGTTTGAGGCCCGAGACCGCGAAGTCACACAAAAACATGGTGAGAGCGATGGATATGTTCATTGACGGCTGCCTTGGCGAGACGCAGGCAATTATAATGTTGGAGATTCTTGTGCGTGTCTTGTGAATGCGAAACTTGCGGGTTGATTTGGAGCGAATCATGCTGAGCATGTGCGATACGTGCATCTTGTACCGCATATAGATGAGCCCAAAAGAATGTCTTCTGCACGTCTTCCAGTCATCAACTATCAGTCTCTTGATGGAGGTCTCATTTTGCCTGCTGAGGTTCCCGTAGTCGATTGCTGCTTCGCTTCACCGTGTCGCATTAAATTGGGCAGGTATCGCTGCCGGCGCAGTTAAGACAGATGATTGATTTATTACTTATCTGTGAAGACCAACAGAACACTGGAGGAGCGGCCAAAAAGGAGGGACGGGCGACGAGGTCGCGCACGCGCACAATTCTTCCTTTGCCTTGCTTGGGAGAAGCTGAGTCAATCCCTTTTACAAAGCCTTCTCCCAGGAGAGGAGAGTGCTCGAGCCCGTTTTCGTCGTATCCGCTTTCTCAGCCTTACCATTTTTTTCTCACACCGGTCGTGCACAGGGGCCCATTCTTTGCGTTGCCTCGGGAACTTTGGTTTTCTGTTGTACTTCCATTCTGGCTTTCGCAAAAAGCCCATTTCGTGTCGAGGCAGAGCTTTTCGATGATGAGTTGTGAGGGTGACTTCCAGCCCGACAATGATAGGATTCACGAACCTCGTTCGGACCGGAATCAATGGCCCAAAAAAGGGTGATACCAGGCTATAAGATCAGGCTGAAGGAAATACTTACTCGTCGTTCGAAACCAACTCAATTTTACCCTCCATTATAAACACTTGATGGAGGACAAAACTACCTTGCATCTTGGTCCAGATTGGTCTTCGATCGGTCCGCATCCAAATGGAACTGGGTCCGGTCGCCTTGAGGGCAGTTGCCTTGCAGACGAGACATGGGAAATGCATACTCGATATCCAGTATTGCTTCATCCATATGCATTGGCATGCTCGGGACAACGCAACACGGCATTGACATTTCTTGCGTCGTGGTCGGCCCTTCTGGAGCCACGCAAACTTCGCGGGCCAGATGTGCCACGGGCGAACTCCGCAATACGTTGTGACAATCATAAACGTCATGACGTCCCTTGTATCCACTACCGAAGGCTTAGCTCTGCAAACGCATGAGGGGACACCTTGGTTGAGCGCTCCGAAGGAGCTTTCCGTGGACAGAAAGGAGTCCGAAATCCTCTATCACACTAAAACTGCAGTGTCGGGCGCAATCAAACGCGCTGGTATCTTTGCACATCCCAATGCGCGGCAGACTAGTAAAGAGAATCGTATCCATGCAGGCCGGAGGCAATCCTCTCCGAGGCTAGACAGAAAACGTTGCGACATGAGGCTGTCAGAGAAATAGGGCGTTGAAGAAGGTTGATGGACCAGCCCGAGTCTCGAGGGCACTAGAATGCTAGTTTGTCTGAGAAGACATGATGTTGGAAGTTTGAGAACATGAGGACAAAGTGAGAGCTCTTGCAACCTCGGGCCTGCGTCTTCTCTCGGTAGGCCCCCCGATCTTTTCGACTAGTCACATGCTAGAAACCAGCGCCCGGGATAGCCTTATTACTGTACGTTACGCGAATGGTCCGCAATAATAGTCAGACTGCTATGCTTGATTTGGCCTAATGCAAGGAAGCCAGCAAGGTTGTTCCAGTTTGGCCTTGGCAAATCAACAAAATGCACGCGCAATAGAGGTCTCACCACGGCAGGTTTTCAATCAGTCTTTGGGTAATGAAATCCGAGTTTCAGGATGATCGCAAGGATTTCGGGCTGGACGATCAAGGCAACCAACTCGTGAGGCAGCTGAGTCCTTGCCGGATGACTTCGTCGGTGGCCTCACGAGAGAGATCCGAGCCGCAGAGAGACGACCGGTGTGGCTGACCTGTCTCGAGGGAGATGCACTTGCCCATGAAACACACCGAGAACATGGTTCAGAACAATTGCCCTGCCAAGATAGGACGTCGACACGTGCGATATGTTCTCCAACCTGGGAGATGCAGGTGCGCCGTCGGCAACGGTGGGTGTGTGCCTGGAGATCACACAAAGTGTGAGCCCGAGGAGATTACCGATCATACCGAAAGCTTGTCCTTCTCCTTCAAATTGGACTTGGTCGGCCACCGACTGCCGGCGCACCGCCCAACTCGGTCATGGAGAGGACGTGCACATCAAAGAGGTTACTTTTCAGCCGCATAAAACTCGGGTTGAGGACCTCCCGTATTCCATTGGGAAAAAGCAAACATGCATTCTCGACATGTAACGTTGATGCATGTAAGCCTTGGCTCAAATTGGAAAGAAAAAGGAGAGCACCAAGCCTGGAAGGCGGTAGCTGATGTTTGTCTCAGACCCGATATCGGGGCTACGCCCGGATTAGCTAGGCTATGAGCTAAAGCGCCGGCCAATCACAAAATTTTAAGAATGTTGCGATAAACGAGTCTGAGGCTCAATACGTAAAAATGGCCTAGATTTCGTTCGAGCCGATTAAATGACGTTATTAGTAAGCGAATAAATAGATAATCTTAGTAATTACGTCGTCTTTTTAAATATTTATCGTTTAACCTTCCTAAGTAAGTAGCTAAGAGTCATAGCGACATCTCAATTTTTAAAAGCCTTAGATTTTCTATAGATTATAACTACTTTAATCGATTATATCTCTATCTATATATCTTTAGTTAAACTAAAACTTTCTAATATATAGAGCTAAAGATTCTCTATTAATCTATATTAACTATAGTAAGTAAATAATTTTTTCGTAAAGTTATTAAACTTTAAAGATAAAGAATTAGAGCTTAAAAAGTAATTTTTTCTAAATATCTTTAATAAGTATTAAAAAGATTAAAAATCTAAATAAGTAGATTTATAAAGAATTAAATTTAGAATA